CTCCTGTTCTCTTTTTTCTTTCCAACCTTTTTTTCCCCCCTTGTCCCTTTTGTTTCCTTTTTTCCCGGGGGTGGTTTTTCCCCAAGCGGCCTGGTAAACCAGGGGGGGTAGTTTTTTTTCCAACATTTTATTTACTTTTTTTTTTTTTTTTTTTTTTTGGTGGGGGGGGGGGGGGGGGGTCAACACCTCAGTCGCTATGAGACCCCCCTTACGTGTTAGCGGTATGGGGCAGGTGGTATTCCATCGGCAAAGACTTCCCAACCGGCTACAAAAGGCCCATGAGAGGCACGACCGCCGCAAAAAAGAAGGAAACCGACCCTTTTGGATGGAACATACGTCATGTACTCGAAAGGCGAGGGAAAAATATAACGCAACACGACGTTTTGCTAGCCGAGGAATTTATTCCCCGCGTGTGACGTGCCGGCAACATCAGGTCCTCCGTGCATTGGACACAGTTAAACGATCAACTTCCTCCCTCCTTTCGCCTTGCCTGAACTGCCGTGCAGTAGCCGATGCCCGCCTTCTGAATCTGGAGCGGGGATATCATGGTGGTCTTGTGCCGCATGTGGTGCTTGCAAGTGCGGAATTCCTCAGTAAAGAAGGCTTGGGCCAGCGACTCAAACCTGCGGTTCAGTGAATATCACATGGGACAGCCCGCCCAAAACTATACAGGTCGCTCGCACCCGCACGCACTGCGCCTTTCGTACCGCTATCACTGACATCTACTAATTGGTGAGCGAGGTCGATCGTATTTTTCGATCGTATTTCAAAATGAAACACCAAAGACATTCACTGCACCCCCCGCCGGCGTGAGCCGGTGCTACCGTCCAATGCCCACCCAACCAAGTCGCAAAGAACGGAGAGCATCGTGGAACAAGCGCAGCCAGGTCGACGACCAATGCAGGCAAAAAGAAACGAGGTAATCCCCCGACACGAACACAAAAAAACTCCATGCTCACCGCTGTCTAGAACCCGGGGGGATGCCGTACCAGGACTTGGGGTCCCCCCTGTGAAGGTAGTTAATCGAGTAGAGGTTGACGTCTTCCACGTGGAAGGCGAACATGCTACGCCACATTCCCGCGTAGAGCATCGGGGTCGTGATTCCGGGCAAGTTAGCCTTCAGCAGCTGCAGGATAGTGTCCTGCGGGGTCCGTTCGGTACCGCGACTCAGGAGTGCGTGCGGGACAGGGTGCCTCGGTGGCTGTTTCGCCTTGATGGTCATTTGAGCACTGACTATCCAATCATCTCCTTCCACGGAACAACGATCCCACTCGTCAAGAGTCTGCGCCGTCCACAGTCCGGCCGGTTCTTGTTTCCGGGGGGGGGTGGGGGGGGATGACCCCAAGTCTACGAGCGACCAACGACTGCATCGACCACCAACGGTTACATCAACCAACCGTGTGAGAGCCACGGGTTTCATAAGTCTCCAACAACGCTTGCATCTTCCGACAGTACATAGAACCAACGGGGGCGGGCCACTGCTGCACGAAACACGGATCAACGCTTCCGGGTTGTAGACGGATTTTGTTGGCCGCATAAAAAGGCGGTGGCTTGGATGGCAAGGCGATTGCCATTGCCATCGGAGCAGGAGGCCGAAGGGTGCGTATCGAAGAGCGAAAAGCTCTACGTGAACAGTAGTAAGTTGACACAGCGCGTCAAGGGAGCAGCGATCGGTCGGGTCGCTCCGTCACATATCTTTAACGTGATACAGAAAAAATAGTACCGGCGTGGTCTGCCGAGCATATACGCTATGAAAGAAGCAAAATTGTACCGCGGGCTCTTGTTTCAGCGGCACCAACCGTTCTGCAGCCGACAGAGATCGCGTGCTGGCAACAACATGCACAAAATAATCACTGTGACCTACATGTGTCAGAGGTTCCAGCGCTGTGTGGGCGCTAACTTGTACCAGGTATCTATCTGCACCAGCCTCTACCCCCAAGCTGGTCCATTTACAGTGTCTATCGCCAACATCCTAGCATGATTTGTGGACGAAGCCGAAAGGAAGGCGGAAATATTGTATGGAGCCGATGCCGGCCCCGGTTTCGATCTCACCAGCCGGCCCACGTTCCAAGCGTCGTTGTCGTCCTCCGCAAACAGCGTCCCCAACGTGTCCGCCCCGTACACGGGTGCTTCCGAGTTGGGCCCCAGCGAGCGCCAGAACATCCTCACCCTCCGCGCGACCTCCGACTCCTCTGTCCGTGAGCTGCCCGCCTGGGTACCTGCTGCGCGGTATCTAGATCAGCCATAGCCGAAGAGGCCATACGATCAAACATAACATCGACCCAACATACCTGCACCCCCTGTCGCACTAACACATATGGTAGGCGGCAACACCTACTCAACCACCCCTACCGTACTCTTCCTCCAACCCCCCTACTTCAAGGTTTTCCGGTCCGGTCCGGCCGCGTGCAAAACTCACCGCTTCCCGCGCTGCCGACGCCAGAACTGAAACCGTAGCCGCCGCCGTAGCCGCATCCGCCCCCACCCCCCCCCCTGCCCCCCCCGCCTTCCCCGTCAGCGCCCCCGCCTTCCGCGGGGTCTGCAGAAGAAACCCCGCCGGAGCGTCCGCGCCTCACCCCGACCGCTGCGGAGCCGGGGCAGCCCGCCGAAGCCGTGGAGGACGGGAACGGCGCGCGCTTGTCCGCGTACTCCTTGAACTCGGCAAGGGTCATGGGCGGGTTTTCGACCACGTCCACGCTGTACACGCCATTGCTGCGGGTGCTGGATACGCACTGGTGGTACCATTTTTCGGTGGTTTTGAGAGCATGCGAGCGGGGGGGGGAGGGGGGGTGAACATGAAATGTGGCTCGGATATCTTCGACGAGGGTGAGTGAAGGGGCTGCTACAGTACTTGTAACCTCCAGAACTGGTCGATGCGTAAATTTTGATGTTATTGTTGTGTGAGGTTCTCAGAACAGCATGCACGAGGAACTGCTGTAGGAATCTACGTGGAACCTGCGTTGACCCTGCATAAATACATCGGGGACAAGACACAAGTTGAGTGTGACGAGAACGCATCAAAATAACAACGCCAATCACACGACGAAACGACCCACGGAGGGAGTTCCACCAACATTGCTCTCCAGCACGGCTTTAGCGCACGCTAGTCGTCGTATTCCTTCCGACTACGGCGGGGGGGTTTCTAACCGAGAAACCCGTCCAATGAGAGGTTGATGTTACCTGTCGGATTGGTGCGGGGATATACACCGACTTGCACATCTCCTCGGCCGTGTCTCGTCGCCGTGCCGCCCACCCTTGTACGACAAAACGACATGGAAACGAGAAACCACGCGTGCGGGGGGGAGCATACGTGAAGCGCTCACGTGCACCGGGGAAAATAGCTGTAGGATTATTGTGCTTGTCAGGTGATGTTTGTGCGTCTATCAAACGAGACAACCGCGTTGCGAGATGCCGCTATCGCGCATACGGGTATTTTTCAACAGCGCGCTTTGGATTGTTGAAAACGTCAGACAAGGAAGAACATGCCCTTCAACTGCTGTGGTATTATCTCGAAAGGGTACAAGTAGTCTCTTTGATTATGTGTATTTTCGAATTAGAGACAATATTGGACCGTGTGTCGTGTCTGCTCTACCAAACAAACAAACAAACAAAAGGTTTCGCCGCATTTTGTGCGAACATCGTAAGTACAGCAGGCAAGTCTACGGAGATGCTGTTGGGTGCACACTTTTTGCGCGCAAGTCATTTACCGCACAAGAGGCTTAAACCGACCATTCCACTGCTGTTGGGTACTAGAGGTGACTGCCTTCCTTGGTAGAGTCGCGACTTTAACACTTCGTGAAGTCGCGACGTTCACTTCGCGAGGTACACCTACGTGTCGGAAGTGTCTTCACGGCAATAAGTAGCCCGCACGCCTGCGACAAGAACCAACACGCGAGATTCGCTGCTGTTGAGGCCTCCTATTCTCTACCCTGGCTGAATCTGTGTGCGAATACCGTAGCGGGAGCACAGCAACATACCTCGCATCACACGACTACTGGTGTATTCAGGAGGAGCTCCCATTGAGACCACACGCAAGATCCGCCTTGTCTGTTGCCGTACGCATTGCATCATGCGAATACATTATCACAGACAGGAGTAACTCTACAAGAGCGACCGCACGTGTTTATTTGCGCAATTTTTCAAACAAGAGGGCCAATACAGCAGTCGATATGGCTAGTCGATATGGCTAGTCGATATGGCTATCAGGCTTAATCTTGTTGGTGACGGGAGAGAGGCCGAGCAAGAGCGGAGACACATAAGTAGGTGGAGCGGCCCCTATGCTGAACATTTTACACACAAATACAAAAATACCCTTCTTTGTGTACTGGTGGTACATCAAGTACTGGTACAGTCTCTTCCCACCTATGGCACGTGCCTCCCAGGCGTACAGCAGTCTATTGGTCATACGTATGAGGAGCACAGAAAGAGAGAAAGGGCGAGAGAGAACAGAGGGAAAGAACTGGGCTCTCCGCGTGCGAGGTGCGTGAACAGCCCTGCTCGGTGGGTACGGTCGACGGAGAGAGAGAGAGAGCAGACGAGCTATCTACTACCCGGACATGCACGTTGTACCTGGTGGGGGGATAATCTTGCACAGCCCGGCCTTCCCTGCGATGCGATCGACCACATCTTCTATATATCGCCGGAAGCTCTTGAATTCCTGCTCAGTTGGCCTGAACACGGGACATGTGGTCTCGGCCATCGCTGTCTGCGACCTGACACACTAACACACTCACAAGCGGGTGCAAGCTCGGCTGGCTCTCGCTTGTTCGATCACTCTCGCTTGTCGCCCGCAAGTCCCGCTCCGGCGGGGGGGGCGCGAATGGGAAAGAAGGTTCGACCGAGGGGGTGGGGGGTGGGTTGTGTCCCAACCCTTCCTATTCTGATTCTTTCCATTAATGTGAAGACAACAACAACAACAACAACAACAACAACAATACTGCTGTACATACCTTTGTTTGATGGTGGCAATGCCAACCACAGCATAATTGTATGCATACAGTAGAGAGCGACACACACATGCATCATGCATATCATATCTTTCAACTATTTACACCAGGACTATGTACTTGTACACGACAGAGGTCTGAGGCGGGTCTCTGGGCGGATTGATTTCGCTACAAACATGTTTGCATGCTTCAAGGTGCGGTAAAATCACGCGTGCACGGACGGCAGGACGGCAGCTGCGTTCGGTTTTGTTATTGTGTGGTTCGTAAGGAACGAGAGATCTCGATGCCTCGTAGTCGGCCACGTGTGTGTGTTCGACCTATAATAGCAGTTGCTTGTCTAGAGAGTTTGCAAGAAGCGAGGTTTTGCCGGCGTCTTGCAGGCGCCGTACATAATGCATTGATGCAGGAAAGTCTGTCTACCTAGAGCAGCTAGCATTGTTGTTGTTGTTCTTGTTGTTGTCTTCACATTCAAAACCGTTCCGATCTCTCTCTCGACCCAGTACTAGTAGTGGAGTGCGCAACACGAACAACAGAAACATCAAATCGTACAATACTCTCTCGTTGGCCACGATCCTCACGGACCTCACTTGCCCAACCATGTAGCCGTGACAACCGTGGAGGCGTTGATTGGCCCATCTCTCACGCACGAACGAACGTATTTTCTTACAAGCGCAGACGGCGGTGGATTCCAAGGAAGGGCCCTGGTTCGAACCCCGACGTTGGTACGACATGCTCTTGCGCGAAGTAGAGTCTAAATGGATGCACAAGCCGGCCGGCCCCCTCCGGCACCATGTAGATTTTGACCTCGTGCTTCAGTTGGTTGTCGTTTGTCCATGAACAACAGCTACCGTTCTCCCAGAAAGTTATCGTCAGGCAAAGCATGTGTTATCATACAGGTAGGTATCCTACACTGAGGGAGGTACGACGTAGGGAAAATGGTCATCAAACGAAAAGATCCAAAAGCTATATAGTCTACTAACGTAGAGTCGACCTATAGACTATACGCCTTCGCGCGCACGTACTTTTATTTTTGCCGGGCGGGTCCACGTGGTGTCAAGCCTTTGGTACCCTCTCAGCAGATTCTGGGTGCCATACCTATCTCTTTTGGTAATAATGTATTCGTACACACGTTATACTTCTATCGATCTCTCTATCTGTTATCTCTCTCTATCTATCTATCTATCTATCTTCTCAATAAATTGGTCACCCAGATAGCGCGGTCGATGGTATAAAAAACACGCACACACGTATTCAAACACACACAAACAAACACGGCCACGGTCTACACTCAACAATAACAATCATCACAAAAAAAATCATAGACGAAGCATCCAACCGATAATTCGCGCAGGAGATCCAAGAAACTTGGTCTACATGCAACCGTGCTCGGCTAACCCCGACAGGACTTTCGCAAACGTTCGCGCATCTTCGGCAAGCCCGGGGAAGGCGGCATGACCGTTCACTCGCTGCATCTCTGCGAGCACAGTTACGTCGCAGCCTTCAAGGCACGAAGCGCTGGCGGGATGTGCAAGCGAGTTGCTCGCAGGGCCTTCTCTTGCAGCTGCCGTGTTCTCCCCCTGCTCCAAGAGGAGACCGTCTACCACCGGTTCAACGCCGATGTCCGATTCATCCCCAGTATTTGCCAATGCTGAGCAAAGTCTGGCGACAAGGCTTGAGTGTGCGGTATCGGAGTTGTCCTCCGCTGCATCGCTTGGACGCACGGAGCGCGCGTTGCACTTTCCGCGGGGTGGGTCCGGCACGTATCGTTTCGAAGATACAGGAGACAAAGCACCCAGATCATGATCGGATGGGAGCTGCACACCTGGAGGTCTCGTTGGCTGGAAGTGACGGAGACGTTCGCCGCTGGCGTTGCCATGGCTATCGACACCGCCACCAGAGATACAGCAGTCAACGGTATCCGTACGCTTCCCCCTACTTTCCAGGACCTCACGTACCGCCGACCCAAGGAAGGCACCCAACTGCGAAGGATGTTGATGCCACCTGTTGCAGCCACCCTCGCTGCCGACGCCGTCCTCGGACCGACTTAACATATCGGGGGGTGGACGCAGCGCCTGGTCAACGATCGTTACGAGGGTCTGGTACAGAGCCGGGGGTATCTCGTCGATAAGCCGGCCGTGCAAGCCGCTCTTGACGTCTAGTGTTGGCACTCTGCTGAGAGCGTCGGTCAGACAAGGCCATGCTTGCTCGGCTGTAGGTTGCGCCCCGTCAAGTCGCCCCGCAACCCCCGCGTGAACTTCGTCGTCGTGCGTGGAGTGCTTTTCCACCAAAGCGCGAAGAAAGGCTAGCGTGAGCACAAGGAAATAACTCGGGTGGCTGCGACCCACACGATCTTCCGTCGACCAGGGACCCGAGGAGTCCGATGGCGGTTTCTGTGGTAACCACGTCACTCTCGTCTGGTCACCTTCGAAGTCTATGGAACATGTTGTAGCTTTTCCATCGTCGAGAATTTCGCGGGGGTGAGGCCCCGCCGATTGCTCTGATACCCCGAGATTTGACTTGGTGCTTTTCCGACGTCGAGCTGCTACCGGGACACCAAGCCGTGGCCACATGAATTCCAACAAAATACCTCGTGACGCAGGTATGGCGGTGTCCTCGCCCTTCCCCACCCCCGAATTTCTCCCCCCCCTCCACGCAGCTAGCCCCGGTTCGATACCATCAAGGTCGCCCGAGGGTTCTCCGCTCTCTACATTGAGACCTTCCTCGCCCCAAGGAACATCCTCGCAAGAATCTCCCGCCTCACCCACCGCCCGCAAGCGTTCTGGCCTGCCAACTTCGTCATGTGATGGTGGGACCGGAAAGACCGTACACAGCTCGCTCAAGACCATCTCCAGCCCGTTCGCCGGGGGCGTCGCCGAGGGCGTACGCCCAATCTCGAACAGCACGGCTTCCCGTTTGAGCTCGGCCAGCTTGCGCTGAATGGTAGGGCCGCGGGGTGAAGTAGGCGGACTCGGGTGCGTCTCCACCTCCGGATACTGCTTGTGCTCTACTCGGGGTGACGGCGAGCGTCTCTTGATACGTGTCGGTGACGTCTTCTGTGAGAAGAAAGAGTACGACAAACCGTGTTTGAGAAGGTGCGGGGGAGGGGGGGAGAGATGACCTGAAGGTGGGCGTCAAAGTCGTTCAGAACGAGGCTACCAAAGAGCACCGCGTACATCAATACTTACGGGCAACATGCACGTTCGCTTCTTGCTCTTGGGCGAAATGAGGCCATGTCTTCAGAATGTGCTGACACGAAAGAGGTCCATACACTTCGCGGAGCTCTTTTCCTTCTTCCTCCTTCGGGTAACCCAACAGCGACTTGTAGGTTCTGAATTGAGCACGTGTTCTTAGCACCAACTTCCTGTAACTTTCTCTCTTTGAGCCTCAAGTTCTTAGCTCCCAGGACATCGAATTGGGCACTCTCTTTACCGTAACTTTTTCGTTGCCTACGAAGCGCATATCCAGAACGGGCCTCCATCAACCTACAGCCGAACAGTATCATGAACCAGTTCATCTCGTAACGGCCCGGTTCTACCGAGGTACCTACCGCAGGGGGGGCGTGTCCCGCTGGTACCCAGAACCTAGAGTCCCACTTTGGCCGCTTACACAGCTGGCGATGCCGCGATCGGAATCTACCGGTGCGTGAGCAGCGCCGACGACGAGGGCTCACAACGTCGTCATGGCGGTTCAACCTAACTCGGTTTGTGCGTAGCCCACCACCAGAGCAGCTACCGCGGACACTGTAGGGAGTTTTCGGTCGAGAAAAAAGAAGGACTGGCTCGAGCTCAGACCTACAGCTGGCCTGTAGAAACCCAGGTCCACTTGTTCCCCGTTTCCCCCTGCCGATGATAATAGTCTCGTCTACTGACAGCCACCCGTCGGGCGCCTCTGCCGGCGACACCCACCCCTCGCTATCCTCGGCGACATCGGGGATCGCCTCCGGGAACTCAGGGCGGCGGCGAGGGGTTTCATCGACAAAGGTGGATTCAAAACCAAAGCAGTCAAGGTCTCTGGCATACCGATGGCGGTCGCAGCTCATGAAAAAGGTCCGACGTCCGCCAGATTCGTTCCCCTCAGTCCTGCCGCCCCTTGAGGGCGCCGATCCCTCTTGCCGGGGAAACGGCGGTGGCGATGGTCTTCTCGACCACAAGCCCCGACCGTCATCTGGGAACGTGCGGGGTCTGACCAAGTGGCGGTGTCCTCGCCCACCGTTACGCCCTTGCTCCACACAGTGTCCAGTCCCACTGTGCAGCGGCCGGGACAGGGTGAGTCGGTCCTAGTTTACAGGAATTCAAGCGAGACTCACTACCTTGTAGCAGGGGATCCGGAGGTCCTACCATTGGTCGTGCACCTATCTAAAGCTGTGCGGGAGATTGGAGCAATTTTCAACTACAGTAGTACTACCTTCTTTTCTCAGGGCGATAGGCTCTCATCCGCGAGTGTTTCGTGTGCTGCGTGTGGCGGCTGCTGGAAAAAAATGGCTACCTTGTGTCCATGGTTTCGCGCGCGGCGGCCTCAACGCCCCTGACGAGAGCGTTCATAGGGTCTTCCCTATATTTCCTTCTTAGCCCCGTCGCCCGCCGTCGCTCACCACCGGTACGAGGAGGGTCGATTGAAAGCCTGCGTTAGGCGATCGGGGTAGCTTCAGGGTTTTGGTGTTAAGGCAGGGACCCAACGTATCTCAGAGGAAAGCGTTTCGAGGATCGACGGCTCGGACTGTTTTGCCGAAAGTGCGCGTGTGATTGCGGTCCTACATCAAGCATGTTGGTAAGCATTGTTGGGCCGGGTTCGCGCGTGACGGTGTGGTTAGCGGTTCACAGGAGCACAAACCGGGACCAACCATTTTTCCGCAAGCGGGGTTGACGTTGGTGCTTGTAGAGGGGCACAGAAGGTCGACGACAGCACGACGTCAAGAATGCGACTAGGTTGGGAGACGGAAACACATGGCAAGTCGAGATCCTAGTAGTAGTGTTCCAGCTGGAGGTATCTGCAAGGCGAGCATGCCGCTTGCCGCATATCATCTGGTGCGGTAGTCGGAAACTACCATACATCGGTCACCCAGTTGTTGGCCATAGCCCGTGCTGGGCCGCGCAGACCTTCTTCTTAGAAGCTAGCCAGCAGGTGCATAAACAGAGGCTTTTGGGGGCAAGCGTACCTCACTCCGGCGAGTCTCCACGGCCTATTGGCCAAGTTAAGGCAAGCCCGGTTGACAACTCGCTCCACAACGGCCGTAGCGAGTCCTTTCGTGTCACTGACGGCGGCTCCCGCCTTGCGTAACGACTTTTCCACCAGGCGCGAAGTGCTTGCTTCTCTCCTAGGGAGCGGGCGGAGTCGAAAGGGTGGGATGAGGGTTCTACGAGCATAGGATGTTGCCGGAGAATGTGTTTTATGTGGCTGGGATTGCCCGGCGGGGGGGTTAGAAACCAGAGATGGGAATTTTGACGGCCGGTCGTTCCAAAGTCGAGAAGGTTCATAGCTGCCTGCGGCGCGATGTTGTTGGATACATGCGGCAAAATAAAGCGTGCGTCAGCGATAGGAAGATCTCTGACTGAAGCTTCGAGAACAACTCACACAATGTATGGGTGATGTGTCTTGTTCAAGTTTTCCGTAGCCCTAGTTGAGCAATTTTCTTCGTTCAACTGACGACAAAGCGCCCAATGTTTCGTTTGTTCTTCTGGGGTCACTTTTCGCCGTCTCCTCTCACGTTTCTTCCGTCGCCCACGTTGTCGAAGACGCCCCGACCCGCCAAGGACGCCGCCCAACATGCGCCGCTTGTGCAACCCCGTCCCTCATAGCAGACACGCGCGTGTCGAATCCTCGTACGCTCTTCACAACTTGCTCGCTAGTCGTTGGAATTCGCGTGTCGTCGACAACGATGGCCGGTGTCGCTATCTTTCGATACTTCTCTACCGCAAGGCGCCGGACCAAAGCTTGCGCCTTCCTTACCCCTTGGTCTGCAACACTGCGACGAGACAGCTCGAGTTATAAGACCGTTCATGAATCTTCAACTGCAAGGCGCCGGGCACTCGTGTTTGCAGTTGCAGCACAAAATGGTCGATTTTTTGGCAAGTATTCTCGCTTTTTTTTAACCACGCGGGACATGCTTTAATTGCAACAGGCTCGAAGTTGTGGAATTTTAGTGTAGTTCTCAAACAGTACAACCTATACCTCGCCGTGCCCGGGCTAGTTCATGGTTAGTCTAGACGTCGGCAAAGTGCATCTGATCGTGACTGGCCTGAATGCACGCGAGCTAGCCGCGATTGCCGCCCACCAGAGAAACTTGTTTCAGCCACAATATGCGTACATTGTATGCAGGTCTTCACTCATTTTTTCTGCGAACAGGTACACTTATGTTGCGGTTGCCTGAGAGAAATTATTCACCTACCAGTCTTGGCTCAAGGAGCCGGCCTCAAGTGCTACCGAGATACTTACAGCGTATCAGCCTTTCCGAGCACTTGCCCTAGCTGCCGGACAACATCTTCACCCAGCGCCGTCCTCCGTCTCCTCCTTTCAATGTACTCCTCTGAACCAAAGGCCGTGGGTCTCCCATCACATAGGGGTGCACGGAACCGATCGCAGGCACCTTTCGAGTCGTCCGCCTTGCGGCCGATCCCTGCATCCAACAGGATGCCGGACGGGGGGTGGTCGTCTTGATGTTTCCCATGCTTGTGCTGCTGATGCTGCTGATGCTGCTGCTGCTGCTGCTGAGGGGGGAGGTTCTCTTGTTGCTGGCCGAGTACAACTGATGCAGCATGGTCCATGCTTTCGTGTGTCACATTCTTCCCTACTCCCTGAACGTGCCCAACGCCGAAGCCCAACTTCGTGCAAACGTTGCGTGGGTCTCTAGAGAGACTAGAAGCACTCTTGATCGCCCTAAGGCCTGCAGTATTTGTGCAAGCCTCGTCGCGATTGTGCGGAAACAGGCGGGTAGGAGCTCGTGGCGATTTGTCTATGTCCGCGGTATCGCCGTTAGGAGGAGTTGCCGATCGACTTTTCGTGCACCTGCGAGAAGGTGGGCCACAGGGTCCGAGACGGAGGGGTGAAGGCTGAGAAGGCCTTACAGACCACAGATTCTGTGGCGATACGGTTCCCACGCCGTGTGTTATGATATAACAGCGGCACTTTTCAGCTTTTCGAATAGCTGCGATACCTACGCAACACTGAACTTCCGGGGTTGCTCACTTCTGTCTTCACGAAGTATCGACAAGTCACTGATATTTTGCTGAAAAAGGGTGTGGCGCACCGCAACAGACCAGACGATCAATAGCTTGGTCAATAGCGAAAAGATGGGTCGTCGCAGATGCATACCGTAGTCCATAAAGCAGCAAATTACACGCAGTAGACTATAGGTATGTGTAGGGTGTGTTTTGTTTTGGGGATTGGGTGTTGCATGTAATTTTCAGCAGTTTTTGGTGTCGGGGAACGGCAAAATATGCGACGGCGTCGGGGTTTTTTGGTGTCCGGACAAACTATTATTGCGAAGAGATGGGCCTCTTCAATTTGTTGTGGCACTTCCGCGCGGTACAGCTTCACGCCCTCCCGGAGATAGACTACAGTAAATGCTCTTGGTTCTTGTCTTCGACGTTTGACATGTTGTGAAGTACCACTCTCCACGCTACAATAGGTGTGCTTATCTACCGATATCGAGATCTCTGTGCTACATTACTGTATGTAGTACATAGACTACCGACCGTGGAGCTACAGTACTGCTGGATATTTTCTTCTGCATCACGGGGTACAATATAGAAATGCATCGTCACCTTAGATCCATGACCATCCGGGCTTCCATGTTTTGAACTTCAAAAGATCGGCGTTGGTGATCGCTCGACTCGCGAAGACGTGCGGTAGACATGTGTTTCTGATCATGTATAACGCATGTATGAACGCATGTCAACCTGGAAGTACAACATGTCAGCCCCCGTTCTCTCCCCGATTTCACGGTAAGATCGTTGCGTGTAGAATGATGATGGTGATGATTTCTGGCTCGCTCTCTATCTATCTATCTCTCTCTCTCTCTCTCTCTCTCTCTCTCTCTCTCTCTCTTGCTTTCAAAACTTCAGACGGCCTTCAAGCAGCGAGTGTACATAGATGCTGCTTTCTTCGTGAACATGCGCGCGGTCCAGCCGTTTCAGAAAATGTTCCTCCGCTTCATACCCCCCCCTCCAACGCCTACCTCCCTCGCGAAACCCCTCAGATTGATTGAACGTGATCTGGAGGTGCGGGGGTTCTGTTGAGGTGCCCGCTGCTGCCGGTCCTGCCGTGCTCATCATCAGGGTGACAGCTTTGGGATATACTTTCAGGCGCGCACAAGAGGGCAAAGTGGTGAGCACAGAACGAAGAGGCTGATATATCTGCGCAGCGAGAGCGATTGCCCTTTGTCCCCGCTGTCGTGGCAGCGACAAGAGAAGCTACGTAGCTGTACGTCAGGACATCTGAAAAAGAGCTGCTGCTGCTGCTGCTGCTGCCTCTGTGAGCTTTGTGTCTGCATGTTTTGTCGGTCCTTTGGCGTTGCCTGCGTGCACTCTACGCTGAACACTTGTGACGCCAGCGTGTCTCCCAGGTTGGGTTAGTCTGGTTCCACCTACAACGCTGCTGTCGTTGACGCCCATCTCGCCTTTTTGTTGATGCGGACAAGCCGTGTTCAGTACAACCAAAAAAGCAGGGCCAGAAAAACATCTGTCTCGCTCGCTCTCCAGGACAGACTCGACCTAAATAGACACCTACGCATTCATGGTTACTTGATGTCGCGATGTTTCGCGCCACTCCTCCTGAGGAAGCCCTGCCGTCTCTATGGGACTGCAGGTTCACCTATGGTTGTTGTGATTTTTGAGTGCGACGAAGATTTGTTCAACACCATACGGAACCCCCCGCTATATTGGTACGATGCAAGTTAACCAAAGATGCTGAAATGCGATGCTCCTTTTTCACCTCCTCACGCTGGCTGCAGCCTTCCTTCTACATCGTTCTGTTCACATATGGATAGCTTTCCCCCACTTGCAACGGCACGGGGCAGCTGGCATCTCATCACCCTTTTCTCTGTTTCAAAAAACTCTCGACCTAGACGAACAAGAAGCTACAATAGCAGACACGATCACTCGTCTCCGTCACCTCCTGACTCCTGTGTATATGCATATGTTGAAACGCACGATCCGCAGGTACCCGGCAGGGCACGCCATCGTGCCTGCTCCCGCTTACTCCGCACACACAGGGAAACAAGGAAGCTTGGGATCTAGAAATGGATTTCGTCGATTCCCACGCGGGAAGCCCGGCGACCAGGCCAATAGCCGTCTGTTCTCGCCCGCTCACAACGACGGCGCGGCGCATCCGTCCCCGCTCCGCGGCGCCGCCGCCGCCCGGTGTCGGCAGCGTCGGAGGCGGTAGGGAAGCGTGTCGGCAAGCATATCTCAAGCAGGCGGGCGGCGTCAGCGGCGGAGCCTTTTCTCCCGCGTGGACGGGAGGGGTGTCGATTCCCGCCTCGGGACTGTCGATGTCCACCGCGTTGCTGCTGTCACTGCTGGCCGTTTCGGGTGCGGCCGCACCGGCGGCGGCGGCGGCGGCAGCGGTGGCGGCGGCGGCCGCAGCGCCACAATCGCCGCCAACAACGGCACCGTCCCCCTTCTCGTCCACGGCATTTTGCTCGGCTTGGCCGCCGCCGCCGCTAAGGGTCTGTGTAGGTGTTCCGTCTGCCTGGCGACCGGCTTCCACCCGGCGTCTGCGCAGACGCAGCAACGCCAGCAACGCCAGCAGCGCGGCGCGGTCAACAGCCGGGCGAAGTAGAGCACCGTCGGCCCTTTGCAGCCGTCGGAATAGTATCAGCTGTTCCTGGTCGACGGGCGCACCACCACCACCGACACCTTCGTGGTTGTGGAAAGGAAGAAGGGCGAGAAGTTACGGGGGGGGGCGCTGCTTGAGCGGGGGGGGGCTACTACCGCCGCGTTCGCGCCTCCGGAGCAGAACCCAAATAGGGCTCACGGACGACTGGAGCACGGGCGAGGCGAGCCACCGACCAGAGGACGGAGGCGCCGGCTGGAACTGCGAGTGGGATGACGACGTGGACCTCTTGACCAGTTTCGGCTTCGACGGGGACGGCGACGGCAGCGGCCCCGCCGACACCGACGCCTCCACCGTAGACGACGCGCCGTCCCTCTCGGAGCGAGACGCGGCGCGCCTGGAGGAGGTCGGCATCATGGTCGAGGAGCTGGAAGGAAACCGGGGCGGGGGCACGGCGGCGGCGGCGGGGGCAACCGCCGCGGTTTGGGGGACGGCGGGGGGCGCCGCCGCCACCAGCGACCCGTCGCCGTCGGCGGCGGCGGCGGCGGCTAGAAACGACGCGGATATCAAGGAGCTGATGCGCACGGCCAGGAAGGGGGACCTCGCCGGGCGCGCGATGGACAGCGCACGCTTGCGCATGACCTGCGGGGACCCCGTTTTTTTCGCGCACCTCGCCGAGCTGATGCAGGGGGTCCACCGGCAATCCGGCGGGAGGAAGTTCCTGAACCACGAGGAAGAGATGGAGCTCGGGGAAACGGTGCAGCGGTATCGGGGGCTAATCGAGGTGAGGGGGGAGGGGCACCCGCAGCTGTGAAACCCGTAGTCGTTACAGAGGGGGGAGGGGTACCCGTAGCTGTTCATGTCAATAGTCGGTAAACAATTTACCTCGCATCCCTACAGACCCAGGACGGAGCAGCCGGGTCCTCCCCGGCCCAGGCTCTCACATCCCCAAGCGCGAAGCCCCGGGGGGGGGGGGGAGGGATCCTGCGGAGGCATTTCTCCGAAGCGGATTTTTGCAGGGGACAAGGGGCAAGTCATGTTCGTGGAAGATTTTGGTTGGGGGAGATGGAGGTCTCGTCGATGGGGACGTTGATTGGTGGTTGGTTTGTCTGTTGGTTGTGCACAAGAGTACCGATACAGGTGGCGGTGGTCTTGGCAACGGAAAGCGAAAACCCGGCTTTGTTGTAATTCAACGGGGACGCGACGGCAGCAGTGGATCATATCCCGGCGGGTATTTTACATCTAATCGACAACACCGGTTGGATGCCGGTGCCTTTGATGATTCTGCTGTTGCGGTTGTCAGGAGGGAGATGAGGCCCACATAGAGCAGCAGCTGCATCTGTGACGTTCTGTCCAAGCGGCGCGAAGAGCCCAGCGAACCTCAACGAAACAGGAAGAAAAAAATATGTTTAGAAATCTGTATCAAGGGGAGGCAACGAGAGAATAAAGCGGCAAACGGGACCAAGAGTTGGTGTCCTCGAGAACACCTCACGGAGAACACCTTCGTGGGCGAAAGGCCAAACACACATGGTATTCCACGGCAGTCTTATGACGACGTGTTTCAGGGTCGTGCCAGAAGGCACCTGGTATACCGCAGCAGTCTTGTGACGACATGTTTTGTGGTCATGCCAAACCACACCTGGTATACCGCAGCAGTCTTTACGACGACCTGTTTCGGGGTCGTGCCAAAAACACTTGGTGTACCACAGCAGTCTTCGACGACCTGTTTCGTGGTCGTGCTCTCGCCTTCCCTCCCAGGCACAGGAGAAGGCGGAGAAAGACAGCGGCCGCAGGCCGCGCCTCCGGGACGTAGCGCGCTCCGCGGGACTGTCAGAAGAGGCGTTCGCCTCCGTCATGCAGGCCGGCATGGAGGCGAGGCAGAAGCTGGTGGTGTGCAACCTGGCCCTGGTGGTCTCGTTGGCGAACAAGTACAAGCGGAGCCACTTTGACTGCGGCTGCCTGCAGGTATATATATATATATTTTTTTTTTTGGGGGGATGGAGGAGCTTTTCCCGAAGACTCCCTTACGAGCTGCCGATCGGACTGAGCTATGTTTTCTTTTCAGTATGGCGAAATGACTGTTGGCATTGGCATGGTCAAATGACCGTTGGCATTGTGCTTGCTTGGCGCGCCCTCCGCCTGACTAGACGGTACCCATATTGGAGACCATTGCTTCCTTTTTTCCGCATGGGACTGGTTCTGCAGTGCTTGGTTGCGTTTTGTGATGCGTGGTCCTTTCATGCCCTGCCCTGTCTTCTTCAGTAGCCATGCTTCTCCTGCTGGTGTTGCTTGGTCGTAGTTGTTCGCGCTGGATGCTGGTTGAGCGTCTGCATCCCTGTTTCGTCATCGATCAAGGCGTTGTTGTTGTTGTTGTTGTTGTTGTTTTTGCCTGTATTTGGTTCGATGTCCCTGGACGACGGTTCCCTTCCCACATGTGCCCCACTCCATCTCGCATAGCCACTGGCGAGCCCCGACCCTAAACCGAACGGGCAAAATCCTCTTGCCCGCTGCCGCCGCTGCAAGTCGCCTCTGTTTGAGATGCTGAAGGCGTTACATTACTGTTACAGAGTCGTGGATCCGGTATACCGCGGTGTGGTGATAGGCAAAAGTCGCACCGCACTACCGAGTGTTGGGGAATGCGAAGTAGCGTCTAAATATGGTGCCTAAATCCCGTGACCGGCGATTTTTCCGCGGTGTATCGGGACCGGCACAAGTCGGAACCGCGGTATATCCAGACCACTTTGTACCCTCATTGTTGCTGGGGGGGTTTTCGAACCCCTCCGAAGCGGCGCAACCGCTCGTGTGTTGCTCTACTTGCTGTGCCGCTGACATGAAAGGTCGAATGGGCTGGTTCAAAAAGTAGCACGCACGCAAGCCGTCCTTCTCGAGAGAGCAAGAAACGCTGATTTCCCACACGCCTGCCTGTGTTGCTGTATCGAGATCGATTTTATTTTTTTTTCAACTATTGTTGGCAAGCAAAATTGTGCTCACACGATCTAATTGTAGCGCCCTCCTCCTCTCTCTCTCTCGGCCGTAGTCTGGTGAAGCAGGGGGAGGCATCATCATCCATACTATGTCTGTTTTTCTTCTTCACCTCGCCACTTTTCGTTCTCCTGTGCTTGCTTGAACTCTGTTTTTCATGAGAACGGTCTATTTAGCAGCCACCTAACGCCCTCGTATGTTGTTTGCCTTCCCTCCATCCCGTCTCACGATCCCACCGTTTTTCTGCCTTTTTCCTTCCGTATTTGTACGTATTTTGTTCTTGTAGACCCTGATTCAAGAGGGCACCATCGGTCTCATCCGGGCCGCGGAGAGATACGACCCCAGCAAGGGCTTCCGCTTCACGACCTACGCCATCTGGTGGATCGAGGCGAGGCTTCGCGTGTCGGTCCAAACGGTGCGTTTGTTGTTGTCGTTGTTGCTGCTGTTGCGGCTGCTGTTGGCGTGTGATTTGTTGCCGTTGTTTTTGTCACAGCGTGTGCTGCCGTTCAGACGGTCCGTTTCTTGTTGTTTCGGTAATCTTGGCGCGAGGAAATGAAGCTTGGTTCTGGTGCGGGGTACGGGAAATGGTTTAGGGTCAGGGTCACGGACTGCCCCTCTCGTTTTCACGTGCAACGCTTTGCTATCCACGAGGATGCGGTGCTGGCTAATGTTGGCGTAGGTGTTGGCGCTATTTAGTTTGTGGTTTTCGTCGCGGCGGTGTTGTCAAAAGTCGGTGTTGCCGGTCCAAACGGGTCGTTTGTTTGTCGGTTGTTGTTGTTGTTGCTGTTGCTGTTGCTGTTGGCGTAGGTGTTGGTGTCAAGTTGTCGTCGTCGTCGTCGTGTTGTCGTAGTCTTGGTTGCCGTCGGTAGTGGCTTTGCCTCTGCCTCTGTGTTGATTGGTCACCTGGTTACATGTAAAGACAACATACACGTAAGTCACAACAACGTCATGTTCACGCCGATACGTGCGTGTGATATCCTACCGAGTCAACCCTATGGCAGCTCTGCAGTGCTTGTCGTCCAACAAACCTGTAAAGCATAGTTAACTGAAAAACGAACACATAGTAAAGTTTTTGATAGGATTCTCGCCTCACATGTAAACCCAGCCCCCCCCCCCCCTCGTGGTCCAACTCTGCAGGAAGAGCGTTTCATCCACGTGCCTATGTGGGTAAAAAACCAGTACAACACCGTGCACAGATCGGTCCCAAAGCTGAGGAAATCACTGGGGAGAGAGCCTACGTCGGAGGAGCTGGCGGCACAGGTGGAAATCGATACAAACTCAAAGGTGCGTGTGTGCAGAGAGAGTACGCGGGGCAGAAAGGGGCCGTGGGGAGAGACAGAGAGCGCGATTTACAACGGTATTGTATCTCAGGATTTGCATTTGAAATGGCAGGATTTCAATGGCCTTAGAGCTTAGTTGACGAAAGGTACCGCCAAAAAGAGGATCGCACACACACCAATAGCGATCTGGAGACCTTGATTACCCAACTTAAGTAGTTCGGCATCGGGAAGAGCGTGGCTCGCCCCTTACCGGTGTTTGTATGCATATAGCGAGATGTCAGAGAGACACAAAGAACAAGAATATGTCATGCATTTTTTTTACGTGTCTTGTGAGGTGTGGTGGGGGGTGGTTGTCCCCAAGAGGGCAAGAGCATGATTACGAGAGAAGACGTGCTGCGGGCGAAACAAACACGCTCAGGATACGTATCACGCAACAATTAGCGTTGGTGGTGGTGGTGGCAAAAGAGACACAGGGCAACAGCGGCAGAAGCGGGTTCCACTTTGAGCCCCATTCCAGAGCTTGATCACCGTTGGGGATAAGGTGCTGACTACCCCAAGCATCAAGGGTCCCTTCGTGGATCAGCACATTTTCCAAATGTTCTTTTGAGTTGTTCGGTGATCGGGCGCACATGAATGAATCTACTTCGAAAATGCAATTTTTTTGTTAAGCTTCACGCAACGCTAATCGTGCACAGTACGCTGTAGTCGACAAACATTCATTTTGGTGAAGTGCGGGACAAGGGGGGTGATGCCGCTGCTGTAGTCGATTTGTAGTGTGTGGGCGTGTAGTTCAGTTGTGAGCACGCAAACGTGCTGCAGGGATTGTAGGTGTACCTCCTCGGGCTTGTGTACCCTTTTCTTGCTAATAGTGTGCGTGTTCTTTAGATCTTCTGATGGTTTTAGCATTTTTGTGACCACGGGCCGAGTCTTTGCTAGATTTTGGGATTAGCAACTGACACGAGTTTAATGTGAAGAAAAACAAACAAACAAACAATCCCCGGTGGCCTGCCGGTGGGTGACGTATCCTTCCCACACCAAGCATGAAGTACGAGTTAATCGAGAAAAAACACTCACCCTTTTTAGTGTTTTGCTCTGTTTGGTATCACCGCCTTTCTATTATTTTGTGTTCACCCCCGCCTTTTTTCTTTCGTTCTGGTAGAAAACAATCATGTTAGATCTCAACCGTCATTCCCGTCTTTCGAGGACACCCCGCGCCTTCTAGTTGGTCTCGTGCCGGTAGGCATCGCCGCCTTCCCCCGTCTTCTGAAAAACTCCCCGCCTTAGGCTTACATGTTGCCCTCTTCACCTGCCCGTTTGAACCAATCCGACCGATCAGGTGGTGGTGACCCCGAAGCGCGTGGAGGAGCTGGAGACGTGGGTGTCGTTCCACCGCAAGCACGAGTCCCTCGACGTACCCCTGGAGGTTTCGACACCTGTGCCGGCAGACTGCTCCACGATAGAAGATGTGCGTGTTACTTCGCCGTGATTGGTTTTTTTTTTCTGGCGTGTAACGCGAGGTACCATGTCGAATGCTGTGTCCACAGATAACAGTCTCGTTTTCGTTTCTTGTAGTGTTTCTGCTGCTGGTGCTGCTTGTAGTGCTGCTGCTGCTGCTGCTGCTTAAAACAACGAAGTC